GCAGATCACTTGAGGTCAGGAGTTCACGACCAGCCCGGCCAACATGGTGAAATCCTATTCTACTGAAAATACAAAAATCAGCCAGGTGTGGCGGCGCAGGCCTGTAATCGCAGCTATTTGGGAGGCTGAGGCAGGAGAATCTCTTGAACCCAGGAGGCAGAGGTTGCAGTGAGCTGAGATGGCACCACTGCCCTCTAGCCTGGGTGACAGAGCAAAAGTCCTTCTTAAAAAAAAAAAAAGGAACGCCTGTAATCCCAGCACTTTGGGAGGCTGAGGCAGGCAGATCACCTGAGATCAGGAGTTCGAGACCAAGACCAACCTGGCCAATGTGGTGAAACCCCGTCTCTACCAAAAATAGAAAAAATTAGCTGGATGTGGTGGCCAGTACCTGTAATCCCAGCTACTCGGGTGGCGGAGGCAGGAGAATTGCTTGAACCTGGGAGGCAGAGGCTGCAGTGAGGCAAGATCGCACCACTGCACTCCAGCCTGGGTGACAGAGCGAGGCTCTGCCTCAAAATAAGGAATAAATTAAATTAAAAAGAAAAGCTGTTACATAGATAATAAAACACTGTGGTTAAGAGATAATAGGTAACAGGCAGTGCGTGCTTCATAGGGTTCAGAGTTAATACTTAGGGCTGGGTGTGGTGGCTTACGCTGTAATCCCAGTATTTTTGGGAGGCCGGGGCAGGAGGATTGCTTGAGTCCAGGAGTTGGAGACCAGCCTGGGCAACATAGACAGGACTTGTGAAAAGTTTCTTGCAGCCAGGCGGCGGTGTGGTGGTGGCTCACCCCTGTACTCCCAGCACTTTCAGGCAGGCGAATCACGAGGTCAGAAGATTGAGACCACCCTGGCTAACACAGTGAAACCCCATCTCTAATAAAATACAGAAACAAAATTAGCCAGGCATGGTGGCGGGCGCCTGTAGTCCCAGCTACTCAGGAAGCTGAGGCAGGAGAATGGCAGTGAACCCTGGAGGCACAGCTTGCAGTGAGCCAAGATTCACGCCACTCCAGCCTGGGAACAGAGCAACGATCCATTAAAAAAAAACAAAACAAAAAAAAACTTTCAGCAAGTGTGGTGGCTCATGCCTGTAATCCCAGAACTTTGGGAGGCTGAGGGTGGGTGGATCACCTGTCAGGAGTTCCAGACCAGCCTAGCCAATATGGTAAAACCCTGTCTCCACTAAAAATATAAAATTAGCTGGGCGTGGTGGGCGCCTGTAATCCCAGCTACCTGGGAGGCTGAGGCAGAATTGCTTGAACCTGGGAGGAAGGAGGTTACAGTGAGCCGAGATAATGCACTGCACCCCAGGAGGTTACAGTGAGCCGAGATAATGCCACTGCACCCCAGCCTGGGTGACAGATTGAGACTCTGTCTCAAAAAAAAAAAAAAAAAAAGAAAAAGAAAAAAACACTCTTGCAGTAGTTCAGAGCCCTTGCCTGTGAATGAGCAGCACCTGCTGGTCATCCAAGGCGATGCAGGATCTCATGTTTACAAAGGTTTGGCCAAGTCCACATGCCAAAAACTTTTATGGAGAGTATCATCAGGGGTTCTCTCCAAAAACACACTACGAACAAGCGGCATGAAACAGGAGGCATCATTTTTTAACAAGACTTTTATTTGTACAAAGCATTACAATCTTCTCAGTATTCTTCACTCACAAACTTTTCACTGTATTTAACAAGTTAACAGTGTCAAACTACGTCACTACCTGTCAAACCCCAAGCGCTCAACTTAGAGAGAAACAAAAAGTGCTTGGAGCACTGAATGGAAACAGAAAAAAACTAAGAAAGGCCAACAGAGATATTTTAGAAGCAGTTAAAGAGGATGGTTTAGGGACAGTTAGATTCCTGAGCACCATCAGATTTCCCTTAAGGTTCAGAGGGGCTTCACAAAATAATTTTTAGAAGACATGAGACAAAATTAGCCAGGCTTGGTGGCACGCATCTGTAGCTCCAGATACTCAGAAGGCTCAGGTGGGAGGATCACTTGAGTCCAGGATTTCAAGGATGCAATGAGCTATGATCATGCCACTGCACTCCAGCCTGGGCCACAGAGAGACCCCATCTCTTAAAAACAAAACAAAACATGAGATTAGAACTAAGGAAACAAGAGATCAGAGGAACTCACACTTTGGAGTATTAAGCAGGTAATCAAAGCTTCCAGACTGACAGAAGTGAGAAAAGGAGGGAGAGGAGAAAGTGGGATGGGGGACAGAGGAGAGGCAGAGGAGAGAAAGGAAGCAGGAGGCACAGAGGGAGAAAGCTGTGCCTACAGGAAATAAAGTTCGGAACTCATGAATTGAAGAATGAAAAGCTATAGTCACAAGTCTGGGAGATGGACTTCAAGAAGAGAAAGCCTGGGGTTTTACACCTTCCAGGAGGTGATGACAAATCCTAAAGCTGTATAGTGGCAGAGAGTAAGGTACACCTGACACTATGCCATCCGTTTCTGTAAAAGTAAGACACTGGCACCCTTGCTTGACTAATACCATTCTACACTGCTGATTTAAGAGTACCTGTGATCAGATTACCACTACACCAGCAGGTCAATCATCTGCAGGCAATATAGAAAGGTTTTGAGCCAAGCGGGTCTATGAAAAACAAAACCCAGTTAATGCTCCTGTCAAGTGAAGAGACAGATTTTGTTATTCTCCCACAGCATTTTAGTACTTTCCTAAAGCTTACTCATTCTGAGCAGTCTTACTAAGCTACTGTCAAAGACTGTGCAATCAAACATAGGCGACCATAAGCAAAGCCCCAATTTTTCCTGAGCCCTGGCTGCTTCTGTGATCTGGAACACAGCAGGCAGCACGGAAGTTATTATTACTTATTTGGGGGAATAGGGAAGACTGCAGATCAAAAACCATCTAACCATACATTTAAGTAACCAAAAGCGATCAACTGACTAATTTAGCCGCTCAGAATCCCTCTTGTCAAAAAGTCATCATCTTCAGATTGATGAAGGAAAACAGGATTCTGCTACTCAGATGCTTTCAGTTTGGTGAGTGCTGGTTTTGATGGTATTTCTAGTCAGTTTTTATTCTGATCTTTTCAGGCACTTTTCCCTGAGACTACTCTGCCCAGCATGGAAAAGCTTCACAGAAACACGTAGCACGTCTCATCTCAAGTGGTACCTTCCAAGCTGCTACAGTCTCCCACCCTATTCAATTGTCTACTTCTTCCTCTTCATTCTGTTCTTCTTCTTCCAGCCTTTCTTCATCTTCGTCATTGTCCTCATCCCTGCTCTTGTCTTGCTCTTCTGAGTCTGTTTTTTTGTCTTTGTCCTTCTTCTTTTGCTCTGAGGCCTCCTTCTTGCCTTTCTGCTCCCGCCTATATGCTGTAAGGAGGAAAGAAGGGGTTAGGAGACAGAGCTGAAAGTGAGCCAGACAGACTGCAGGAGGTAATTACATTATACAACTGGAAAAACAGAGGCAGGTGGGTGCGGTGGCTCACGCCTGTAATCCCAGCACTTTGGGAGGCTGAGGCGGGCGGATCACCTGAGGTCAGGAGTTCAAGACCAGCCTGGCCAATATGGTGAAACCCCATCTCTACAAAAATACAAAAATTAGCCGCACGTGGTGGCATGCACCTGTAGTCCCAGCTACTTGGGAGCCGGAGGCAGGATAATTGCTTGAACCCAGGAGGAGGAGACTGCGGTGAGCCAAGATCCCACCACTGCACTCCAGCTTGGGTGACAGAGCAAGACTCCATCTCAAAAAAAAAAAAAAAAAAGAAAAACAAGACCAAAAAAAAAACCAAAAAAAAAAACGGAGGCAGAAAAGGAAAAATAACTTGCTCAGCATCACAAAACAGATCCGAGGTAGTGTCCATCGAACTGGGTCGAGTCACATCAAGTGCTGGCTTACAGAACTTAAAGGCACCCGCGCTGAGAAAGTCTCAGGGCCAGATGAACAGGTCACACAGGATGACCATCTACGTGGTTTAGAAGACAGAAGGCTCGTTACCTTCCAGAGCTTCCTTTAATGGGGTAACGAACCGCTGGAACTCCATCTCTTCCATGGCTGAGAGCACATCACTGGCATTCAGCGTCTTGCGCTTTCCTTTCATAGCAAAATTGTTGGCACTGAGAGAAGAGAAAGGCTGTCAGACTCCCTCTTGTTTGTAAGGGGTGAGTGGGAAAAGGAGCACCCAGAGGTGGAACGGGAAAACCTGCCTCTTACATGCATGGATTTTGGTGTGACACGGATAAGTCCTTCCCTTCTCTGCACAAAAAAAGCTTAAGCAAAGTTATTTTGTTGCGTTACTTTGCTTCAGAACTTGTAGGAACTGGCTGAGGACTGTGAACCTGTCCCGACCGACGGAGGACATAATCGTTGGGGTTTGTGGGCTCCCGGCCAGGAACTCCCAGCCAGGTATCCCCGCGCCTCCCTTATGCCTCTGCCCCGCTCACCAGGATGTGGCGTACAGCACGAAGACGCTGGCGGCGCGGGAGATGGCGCTCCGGGCCTCCTTGGAGATGTTGACACCGTCCGGGAGCTGCGAGGAGACCGGGGGTGAGCAAAGCTGCCGGTCCAGCACTTGCTTCCCTCCTGCCCGTTCGTCCGCCCCCCCGAGCTGCTCACCGCCTCCTTGATGATCCTGGTGATGACGGCGTTGGGCAGGTTTAGGTCCTCGGGCCTCTCCGCCATTGCCGCCGCCGGGGCTGAGCCTCCCTCTCGCCTCCGCTTCAGGCAGCTACTGCGTCCGGACTTCCCGCGTCGCTACGGTCTGACCCTCCGGAGCTTCCGTCCCGCCCCACGTGGCCCACAGTGTCCCACAGTGCTCTGCGCGCCATAACCTCCCTCTTCCCCCAGCCCCGCCTCCGCCTCAAATACCGGCGCATCCGGATTTTGAAGCCGCAGTGGTTTTGGCCCGCCGAGGCTTCCATCCAACCCCACCCCACCCCGCACGCCCCTCCCCAGGTCCGTTTCTTTGCCTCTCGCCATCGCTGCGTCGGGAGCCTTCTCATCAGCTTATTATGGCTCAATGGAGTTTCCGTCCGTTTTCCATGGTGCTCTGCGCCGCTGCTTGGCGACGGTGCAGCCGGGCGCAGCGTGTGGGAGACGGAGGCGTGGCTGACGCGGCTGGGCTGGTCCCTTTAGGGCCGGAGGCAGGGTGTGGCCGGCCGGGTCCGTAAATCTCCTCACCGCGCCGCAAGGGGCCGCGTTTTACCACTTCTTTTAGCAACCCTAAGCTGTTTGGAATCCGCTTTGCTCTTACAGGACCTCAGCCCGTCGTGATTAGATTCTCGCACTTTTTTTTTCTTTCCTGGAATGGAGCGGGCAATCTTTTTCCATCTCTACCGAAGTTGATGTTCATTTTTAATATTTTCGCCCCTCACACCTTTGTAATAATGGTACTAAAACTGAGTGTTATTTAAATTTTTGTTGTAGTTGTTGTTTGTTTTTAACGTGAACTATTTATGTAGCCCGGGGATAATGTTGGCCATATAGAGATGCGCCTGATTAGGTCTCAGGAGTCTATTCGAGCTGGGCAGGTAACGAAAGGGCGAGAAGCAGCCTTTTCATTGTAAGAAGAATGCAACATTACATTCGCTTTCAAAAACAAACCGTGTTAAAATTGTATTTATTTTTCAGTTAAATTGTTCATCATACCTCTTTTCCAGTTAAAATCATTCTCAAGGTTTTGCAATGGCGTTTTAAGTTGTTTTAAAGTTATTTTTATATTATGTTCGTGGAAATTCTCACTCCCACTGATTTGTATGTATGTATGTATGTATTTATTTTTGACAGGATCTCTGTCCCCCAGGCTGGAGTGCAGTGAGGCGGTCTCGGCTCACTGCAGCCTCGACCTCCTGGGATCAGGTGATCCTCCCACCTCAGGTCCCCTAAATAGCTGGAGCTACAGGTGCATTCCATCACACCCAGCTAATTTTTTTTGTATTTTTCGTAGAGACAGGGTTTCGCCATGTTGCCCAGGCTGGTCTCGAACTCCGGGGCTCAAGTGATTTGCCCTCGGCCTCGCAAAGTGCTGAGATTACAGGCGTGAGCCCCCGCGCCCGGCCTCCCACTGAGAATTAATGCTGCTTTTTTCCCTTCAAAAGGGAAGTCTCAAGTCGCCAATTAGTTTTCCTGCTTTCGATAGAAGCCTGTTTACAGAGAAATATTTTAAAACAAAACAGCAAATGCTATGATAAGTGGCAACTGAAAGTGCTTCAGTTAGAGACCATAAGGTCTGGTGGGGGAACTCCGCTTGGATAGAACAGACCTGGCTGAAAACAGGGCTGCTCAGCGCTAGTCAGTTGCAGTTCAGCTGAAATTGGGCCCAGTGTTGTCAAGTATTTTGGTCCCTAAAAGGAATCAGAAATCTGGACATTGTGGGCTATTTCAATTTTAAAATTGGTTCAAAGTGCCAGCGAAACAAAACAAGTCATAGGCCAGGTGCAATCCTAGGCTGGTAGTTTATCTTTGATCTAAATTATAAACTGTTTAGAACAGGGAGTTTGTTTATTACTGTTCATGTCCAAAGCAGGTCCCCTCACATATTTAGTAATCAATAAATGTGTTGAATAAAAGAAAGAAATGGACACTGTCCTTAAAAAGTTCTTAGGGATATGGTAGTGGTTATTGATTGCCTAAAACACCTCTAGAAAGGAAAAGATGATAATATTTATTGAGCACCTCCCATGCGTAAAAGTACATTATCTCATTTAATGCTTCTGCAGTCCTACTTAGGGATTCGCCTCCTCTGCTTATTTTATTTATTATTTTTTGTAGCGAGGGGGTAACTCATCTTGGCCTACCAAAGTGCTGTGATTACAGACCTGAGACACCAAGTCAGGACCCTTCCCCCTACTTGAGAGAGAGGTGTGAAGTCACTTGTCCAAGGCCATATGGCCTGTAAATGAAAAGCTAATGGCCTCTGATGCAACTCGGAGTGTCTAGTGATTTGCTATTTGAGCAAACACATTCATTGCTGGTGGGTATTTTATCTGCCTGCGTGGGAACTGAAGCACATTGAAAAACGAAACGTGTCTTCCAGGAGTTTGGGCCTTCTGAGACACTTCTGTGACTACTTTGGTCATAATTTGATAATGCTTTTTGGAGATGGTGACATCTTCTCCCTGATGACTAACAAAGGGGAAAAGGAAAGGATGCAAATATTTATTTGGAACAATATGCCAGGCTTTTAATATTCATTAACTAATTTTTGTAATGACCCTGTGAAATAAACTTATCCTCATTTTACAGTGAAGTCAACAGGCTCAGACTGGTTAAGTCCCAGGTCACTCAGCTATTAAATAGCCAATTAGGAGACCTGAAGTCATTCTGCTCTCAAACTCTTGCCATTCTATCTCATTCTGAGATATTTTCATACTTGTTTGTTATCCAATCTTTAACTATTTTGTGGCCATCATTTGCCTGTATAGGTTCAACAGAAATATTTTATACTTTGAGTTCAAATTAAGATCTGGACCGTATGGCTAATGTATAATACTCCCTAATTATGTGGTTGTTGATTTTCCAGAGGACTAGAATGCTGCAGGGTTGGCCTTTGGCCTAAACCATTTCTAGGTATGGACTTGCCAGATGAGAGCCAGTGGGATGAAACCACCTGTGGCTCTGCTGTTTGTCAGCACCCACAATGCTGGGCAACTGTCCGCCGCATTGAAAGGGGCCATCCTCGAATCCTTGGCTCAACCTGCAAAACTCCCCTGGATGCTGAAGGTGAATTAGCCAGCTTCTGTCCTCTCCCTCACGAGGTCCTTGATGTATTTATGTATGTGACTTCCTTTCTCCAGGCAGCATGTTAACATGTTTTCTTCTGGTCTGTCTTCTCAGATAAACTCCCAGTGCTCACCGTGGTAAACATCTCGGATTCCTGCGTTGCACCTCGTCATCTACCAGAATGTACCGTTACTAAGGCCCGTTCTTTATTGTCTCGGAGTTCAAAGTTTTACTCCAAATTTCATGACAGGTAAATTATGATGGAATCTTCCTTTAACAGCCTATTGTCTCAAAATTCTGGCTTATGATTTTCCTTATCCATGTAGTATACTTTGAGAAAGCCAGATTAAAAAGAAAATACCAATTTGGTTAAAGAAGTGGTGAATAGGCAGTGGGAGACAGAAAGAAACACTTCCTGCTTGTGCTGTAGGAATTGGTTAATTTGGGAGGTATATTGGTTCGGAAGGGCTGTCATAACAAAGTACCATAGACTGGGAGGCTTAAACAACAAAATTATTTTCTTATAATTCGTGAGGCTAGAAGTCCATTATCAAGGTGTTGCCAAGATTGTTTGCTTTTGAGACCACTCTTGGTTTGTAGATGGTAATTTTTTATTCCCTGTGTCCTTTTTATTTATTTACTTTTTTTGAGCCAGGGTCTTACCCTGTCACACAGGCTGGACTAGAGTAAAATGGTGTGATCATAGCTCACTGCAGCCTCCACTTTCCAGGCTCAAGCGATCCTCCTACCTCAGCCTCCCAAGTAGCTATGACTGCAAGTGTGCATCATCGTGCCTGGTTAATTTTTTTGTTTTTTGCTTTTATTAGAGATGAGGTCTTGCTTTGTTGCCTGGGCTGGTCTTGAACTCCTGGCCTCAAGTGATCCTCCTGCCTTGGCCTCCCAAATTGTTGGGATTACAGGCATGACACACCGTACCGAGCCCCTCTCCCTATGTGTTAACATGGTCTTCCCTCTACGCGTCTGTGTCTTAATTTCTTCTTACAAGGACACCAGTCTTACTGGGTTGGGGCCCCCCATGTGACTTCATTTTTACTTTAATAACTTCTTTTTTTTTTTTTTTTGAGATGGAGTCTTGCTCTGTCACCCAGGCTGGAGTACAGTGGCCTGATCTCAGCTCACTGCAACCTCCGCCTCCCCGCAGGTTCAAGCAATTCCCCTGCCTCAGCCTCCCGAGTAGCTGGGATTACAGGCGCACACCACCACGCCCGGCTAATTTTTTTGTATTTTTAGTAGAGACAGGGTTTCACCATGTTGGCCAGGCTGGTCTCGAACTCCTGTCCTCAGGCAACCCATCCGTCTTGGCCTCCCACAGTGCTGGGATTACAGGCGTGAGCCACTGCGCCTGGCCCTTAATAACTTTTTAAAAAACCGTATCTCCAAATACAGTCAAATTCTGAAGTACTAATTGGGACTTTAACAGACGATTTTTGGGAGGACACAATTCAGCCAGTCTTATCAGCATCTGTAGATCAGAAAACTGTCCATATATGCCATCTTTCTTTTTTCTTTCTTTTTTTTTTTTGAGACGAGTCTCACTGTGTCATCCAGGCTGGAGTGCAATGGCACGACCTCTGCCTCCCACGTTCAAGCAATTCTCATACCTCAGCCTCCCGAGTATCTGGAATTACAGGCATACACCACCATGCCTGGCTGATTTTTATATTTTTAGTAGAGACGGAGTTTCACCATGTTGTCTACGCTGGTCTCAAACTCCTGACCTCAAGTGATCCACCCGCCTCAGCCTCCCAAAATGCTAGGATTACGTGTGAGCCACCATGTCCAACCCTGTCTTTCTATTTCTTTTTTTTTGGTGGGGAACAGGGTCTTACTTTGTCACCTAGGCTGGAGTACAGTGGCACGAACTTGCTCACTGCATCCTCCACCTCCTGGGTTCGAGTGATTCTCCAGCCTCAGCCTCCCAAGTAGCTGGGACCACAGGCACGCACCACCACACCCAGCTAATTTTTGGATTTTTTTGTATAGACAGGGTTTCGCCATGTTGCCCAGGCTGGTCTTGAACTTGTGAGCTCAAATAAATTGTACACTTAAAAATGGTTAAAATGGTCAATTTGTGTTATGTGTATATTTACCACAGTAAAAAACTCATATCCTTATATTTTCATATCACTTGCAATTTTCCTTATTTTTTAAAAGACATGTTACATGCATGGATGAATGAATAACATAAAGGGGTTACTCTGTAATCCCAGAGTGTTGGGGTTATTCTGTAATCCCAGAGTGTTGGGATTACAGGCGTGAGCCACCATGCCCGGCCCCTGTCTTTCTATAATGATATTTTATTTTTAGGTATGAAACTATTTGTAAGCTCCATGCCCGGTATGGATATTTTGTTTTTAGGTATGAAACTATTTGTAACCATCATGCCCAGCCGCTGTCTTTCTATAATAATATTTTATTTTTAGGTGTGAAACTATTTGTAAGCTCCTAAAGGAAAGAGCTGTGGCTTTTTTTTTTTTTCTTTTCTTGAGTCTCCTACAATGTTTGTGTACCCAATGAGTGCTTGCTGATACACGAAACTAAGGGACAGGTATCTGTGGAAAGCTTAGACTTAAAAAATTCAAAGACTTTGTTACCTGGAATCAAAGCACCAGTGATGGCTCTTATAGTAATTTCTTTCCTCTTGTTCCATTTAAGTAGCCCCTGATGATTTCTCTTTGGCTAACAATGGTATAGGAAGAGGCATGACTACTTTCACGTTCTCTAGGACTTGAATTTTGGTTAAACAGCGGTGTTTCTCAGTCAGGACCTATGATGTGCTTCACATTCACATGCAGGGACACACTCCACCCCTGCCATGCCCTCCGTGTATAGCGCAGAGCTATGAGAGAGCTGCCTCCTCTAGTCAGTTCCCTGTTTCCACATCTTCTTCCTTCAGTGTGTCTGGCTTTCTGCTTCACACTCTCTGTCGGAGACCAGTCCCTCATGACATGGTGGGTGTTTGCAGTGGCTTCTGAACTGGCTTCTCTGCCTTTTCTCCTCGAAGCTATTTTACATATGGCCAACAGATTAATCTTCCAAAAATACTGCTTTGTTCATTTCCTTGCTCGAAAAGCCCCTTTATCAGCACTTTACTAGAGAACAGACTCAAACCTCCCAACTCTGGACTGGTGGCCTCTCTCTTTACTGTCTGGCTTCTCTAATCAGGGTCCTCTCTTCTTGAACACCAACTTTTCCTCTGTGCGAGACTGGTTTTCTGATTGTGCTTTTCTGTCATGCAGTTTCCTTAACTGTAAAGGCCTTCTTCCCTCCTGTCACTTCATTAAGTCCCTGCGCTGGCCTTATCTGGCCTTCCTACTGGACCTCATCTCGCACTTCTCCCTTCCTTGTTGAATAGGCTCAGGCCACACTGCTCTTTCAATTTCTCATCTATGCCACACCTTCCACCCCAGGGTTTATGCCCCTACTGTTTCCCCTGAGTAGAACACTTTTCCTCTTTTTTTTTTTTTTTTAAAAAAAAAAACACTGTTGACATTTTGGACCAGATAATTCTTTGTCCTTTGGGGCTGTCTTGTGCATTATCTGATTTTAGCTACTTCCCTGGCTTCTACCCACTGAATACTAGTAGTACCCTGCCTCCAGTTATGACAACCAGAAATGCCTCCAGACATTACCAGATGTCCCCTGGGGGCAATATTGCCCCCTTGTTGAGAAATACTGCCCTAGATCCTTCCAGCTAATTCCGTTCGGTCCTTGAGTTTAAGCTTAAATGTTGCTTTTTCACAGAAGTCTTCCTCGACCAGTCTATTGAAAATTTTCTTACACCCTCATCATCATTTAACCAAGCATCCTTTTTCTTCAGTTCTTCTGATCTGAAATGATTTTTATTGATTTGTTTGCCGCCTCTCATGAGAATGTCAGTCCCTACAAGAGCAGGGACCGTATGTTTCTTTTGTTGGCTGCTCTGTCTCCTATGTCTTCAATAATGCATGGCATATAGTGGAAACATAATAAGTATTTGTTGACTGAGAGAATATGGTCCTTTTCTTCTGTCAAGGTTGAGTTTTCTCATTTCCCATTAGCCTCTGATATTCTCTCTTCTAAACTACCCGTAGTACTTAGAGTCCCTGACATGCTTATTGATATTTATATGTTTATCTCCTAAGTCCAGCTGGATTTTAGGCCCTTTGAAAGCAGGGGCCATGACATTTGTTTAGTCATTCAATTCACAACTGTATGTTAGTGGGGGCCACTGCGGCGAATGCTGGGGATACAACAGTAACAACATACAGTCTTTACCCTCAAGGGACTTTCACCCTAGTTGGGGAGGCAAAGAAATAAGCAGGTCATATGATGAGTGTCATGAGAGGACTGCCCCCTGGTGTGTGGGAACACCAGAAAGGGTTCCCAAACCAGGGCACTGTCTTCTGTGTAAGTGGCATCTGTGCCTAGACCGGAAGTCTGAGCAGTCTAGTGAAATGGGGGTTGTAGGTGGGAGGTTGGCAGGAAGAGATTTCTAAACCATAGGAATAGCATATCCAAAGGCTTGGAGGCAAGAGGAAATTCTATCTGTATCAGGAAAATAGTTCATTGTGCCTAGAACATAGAGCAGGAATGGAAGAGTGGTCAGAGATGAGGCTGGGGAGCTGCAGTAGAAACAGGAAGCAGGTGTCTGTGTCATGTAGAACTTCATAAAGCAAGCTGAGTGTTAGGTCTTTATCTTTTTATTGTTTTTAAACTTGTCTTACTATCATTCCTAAAGGTCGTTTTCATTTACCCCTTGACATTATTCATTCATCCATGTATGTAACATGTCTTTTAACAAATAGGAAAAATAGCAAGTGATTTGAAAATATAAAGATATGAGTTTTTTACTGTGGTAAATATATACATAACAAGAATTGACCATTTTAGCCATTTTTAAGTGTACAATTCATTGGCATTAAGTACATTCACAATGTTGTACATCCATCACCACTATCCATTTCCGAAATGTTTTCATCATGTCAAACAAAAACTGTATCCATTAACGGCAACTCCCCATTCCCTCCTCTTCCCACCCTCTGGTAATCTCTATTCTGTTTTCTGTCTTTATGAACTTTCCTGTTCTAAGTACCTCATATAAGTGGAATCACACAACATTTGTCCTTTTGTGTCTGGCTTATTTCACTTAGTATAATGTTTCCAGTGTTGTAGTATATACTGTAGTCCCCCCTTATTTGCAGGAAATGTATTCTCAGACTCCCAGTGGATGCCTGAAACTGTGAATAGTACCAAACCCTATATTTACTATGTTTTTACATATACATACATGCTTATAGTAAAGTTTAATTTATAAGTTAGGCACACTGAGAGATTAACAACAATAAGATAGAACACTTATAATATACTGTGATAAAAACTCATGGTGTGAATATGGTCTCTTGTGGTCTCTGTCTCTCTCTCTCTCTCTCAAAATACCTTACTTACAGGTGCTCATCTATTTTCAGACCATAGTTGACTGCGGGTAAGTGAAACCATGAATAAAGGACTACTGTATCAGAATTTCATGACTTTTAAAAGCTGAATGATATTCTATTGTATGTATATAATGCATTTTGTTTATTTTATAATAAATTTTTAAATTTTATTTGTTTTTGTTTATTATTTTTATATTTTATGTTATTTTATATTTTGAGCATCTATCTCAAAGTACTTAAACTTTTATTGATGGTGATATGACTGTCTCTAGCTGGAGAGAAGAGTAGGCTATGAATTCTGTTTGATGGAACAAATAGTTGTGAAGTGTTTGCAGTGTGCAATGTCTGTTTAGGAGCTGTTCCAGGAAAAACAAACAAAACTTAAGGATATGGTGAGACCCTACACTCGTTTGGTAAGCATAAAGCCCAAGATAGTAGATAAGTAGAAGGGTTTCCTCTTAGCACTAACTTTATCATTCCAATAAGTGTTTTGTATTTCTGTTTTATGTGTGGAACTCATTTTTTAGGCCTCCGAAGGGTTTACCTGACAAACGTTTGATCAACTGTACTAATAGACTTCCTAAAGTAAGTCACAGATTTTAAAAGGTACTTGCTCAACAATTTTTCTTTACTAGTGGAAATAAACTATTCTGCCTTTATTTGAAATTATTCCTCAGGAGGACTATAATCTGAATAGTAATGTTGATAGTAACCATCTAATATTGGGTCCTTGCTATATGCTAGACTCTGTGCTATCTACATGCCATATTGTTTTCAGAAATCCTAGAAGTCAGTGGGATTGATTTGTATAGGTTAGGTGTAGGTGAGAATTTTCTGTCTCTTTCCTGCATAGAACATGTTCAGCTACTCAGTAAATACTGTCATCTCATAATCAGGGAAACTGGAATGCTGGAATGTCAGACCCAAATAGGCCTTAAGGTCATCTAATCTGATAACTTACAAACTGTTCAGCTTATGATCTACAGTAAGAAATAGATTTTACAAAAAAAAAAAATCATGGAACAATCCTTACCTAACTATGAGTGATATACTCTAATTTTTCTGTTCTATTCTGTTTTATTCTATTTCGTTTGTAAACAATATGGTCTGTGATTCAAAAAACTTGATTTTATGACCTATGAATAGTTGCAATTACAGTTTGAAGAACACTACAATGGTTTGATAGACCACAGTCTATCTTATGTATCTTGCAGATGAGGAAACTCAGTTGGGAAGTGATTTGCTAAAGCATACAGCTAGTTAGGGGTAGAGCTAAATTAGAACTTTAGAAAGAAAAATCCCTCCTACTTAACTATGGTAAAGAGAGATTTACTATTCTTTGCAGTCCTACTAGATGCCTTTTATTTTTTTCATGAGATGCTTCACTTTTCAATATTATGTGTAATGGAGAGTATAAGGAACTGCGATGGTAGATGGTTTTGAATGGACAAATTGACTAATCACTTTACCTCTTTGACTTCTTTAGAACAAGAGGATTAGATTAAATAATAACAACAACAATAATAATGATTATTATTATTTTAAGAGACAGAGTCTTGCTCTGTCACCCAGGCTGGAGTGCAGTGGTATGATCATGGCTCACTGTAGCCTCAAATTCATGGGTTCAAGCCATCCTCCTGCCTCAGACCCCTGAGTAACTGGACTATAGGCACACAGCACCACACTTGGCTAATTAAAAACTTTTTGTAGGAACAGGGCCTCACTATGTTTCCCGGGCTGGTCTCAAACTCCCAGCCTCAAGCAATCCTCCTACCTCGGTCTACCAAAGTGCATGAGTTGTCATGCCTGGCCTAGATTAAATTATTTTAAGTTAATTATTTGGAGAGATAATGTATGAACATGATTTTTAACTTCAAAAAGCATTAAAAGATTTATAATGAAAAGGAATCTCTCCTATTACTTCCAAGTCCATCAGTTCGTCTTCACAGGGACAACCTTATTTTGAATAGTTTTTTCGTATGTGTATCTTACCAGAAATATGAACTAGGTGATTTACAAGGTTTCCTTGAGCACTAGTGTTCTAGGATCCTAAATAGCTAAATGTGAGAAGAGTTAGCCTTTGACTTTTATATAGATGCCTATAATTGTAGTCAGACTGTAAAACACCTTGCTTCTGTTTCTATCAGTTCTCTTTCTGCTCCCAAGCTGCAGATTGTAATGTCTGCAGGATCTAAGTCTTTGGCGTGGAGTAGGCAGGATAAGTAGTGTTCCTGTAGGCAAGCCCCAGGGCACCCTCATATGGGATCGGATTGGGAGTTGCTAAATGCTACCCTGATGGCACAGGGAAACAGGGGAGATTATTTGCTTATTAATACTAACTCTTGCAGATACCTATACTGATATTTGATGGAGGAGGCCGGTTTTTTATTGAGGGGGGGGGAGAATATTATGAAGATGTCTTGGAGATGGGAAACTTAAATCATCTTCTGTGCCACCAAACTCTTTGCTTTGCATATCCTTAATCTGATGCAGGAGTTTAGCACCTCAAGCCATACATGGGCTTTATATCTTTCTCTTAGCTTCCAGTGTTGAATTTGAATGAGACGCAACTTCCCTGCCCTGAAGATGTTAGAAATATGGTTGTATTGTGGATCCCAGAAGAAACAGAGATACATGGGAGGTGAGTATCATATCTGGAACTCAGAGGCCTTTGACTCTGTAAATCTCTGATGTCTTCTGCAGGCCTCCTTTTTGTGATCTTCCTTTTCGCCAGCTCATTGCAAGTAGCAGGAGGCCAAGCAGAGAAGGTCGTGGTCTTTTGCATCTGCCTTTTGCTACACTGGAATTTTAACGTAATGCATTTTGAGATTCATGCTGTGGGATTTCTCCATATCAAATTTCACATGGCAGTAAATAGCATACAAGATAAGGCTCAACTTACTTGTAAGGCTTGACTAAGAAATAAATGCTCTCTCTTAGTTTTTCTGGTTAACCACTTGCAACAAGTGAAAAAGTTCTCAGTGAAGCATGTGAATCTCTGATCTCAACCCCAGGGCCTAGTACAGTGTACAAAAGCAATAGCATGTAGGACTTGTGTAGAAAACAGAGTGTGACAAAGATCATTTGGTGAAGGCCCAAAGGCTTGCTAATATTGACAACCATCAGGAAAGTGTTTGGTTCTTCTTTCCTGATCCTTGAGGCTTTCAGGTTCTTAAGTGACATTTAGAGATGATGAAACTTAAGAATTTCTTTTTATTTCATTTTGTTTTTCTTTTTAAAAAATAATGCTATGAGTGCTTCTCTCTATATATGTATGCATTTGTGTGTGTGTATATGTGGTATAAACAAATGAAACACAACCCTAAGGGTTTATTTCCTTTCATGTGAAAGAAGCTCAGAAGTAGGCAGGCTAGGGCATGTGAGCTTCATGAGATAATCAGAAACCGGGGCTCCTTCTAGCTTTTTGGGCCATCTCCTTAGCCCATGAATTCCACCTTCTAAGGAGTTTCATGGGTGCTTTTAAGGTATAAGTTGGCTACTAGAGCTTCCACTATCATATCCATGTCCCAGGCAAGGAGGAAGAGGACAGAGCAAAAAATACTTCTTACGAAACCTCTCTGTGTCAAGCAGCGAGGATTTGGTGAACCAAATAGATTTAATCCCTGTCCTGTTGGAGCCTTGTCAGGGCGAGTCAGCCATTACAGACATAACCACACCTACATATATCATTTCTAATTTGGATTCATGCTATGAAAGCAGATAACTGGATTGCCTGAGAGATTAATGGGAAACCTAATTTAGATAGGAGGATGGGGGGTCTTTTCAGCAGAAGGTGCTTGGGCAGCAGGTACTGCTGGGCTCCCGACCAGCTATCTTCAAGTACTGATCAAAGATAGGAATCTTTGTGGTCATCATTCACAAATATCCTTGGAGCTTCGTTTAAGATATCTGGGAATAAGTTGTGCTTATTCTTATTTCAAGTCCAGCTGAGAAGCATGTTTTGTTTTGTTTTGTTTTTCTCCAGCCAGCATGGGAAGAAGAAAAGAAAGAACTTGACAGTGGTGAGTTTGATGTTTTTGTGCAAATCTTTATAATATTGCTATGTAGAGTTTTGTTTTCCTTTCAGGTCTCCTCCACCTTACCCCCATTCTTTCCTGAAATGATCCAAATCTGCTAAAGAAAACCCTTCTTTAGGAATAATTAACCAAACCATTCTCTATTCAGAGACTCCTTTTCTCTGTCTCCTCCCTGTAGGGAGCTGAAGAGCACCTTGAGATAATAGGAGGAACTGTTGTGTATTCAGGGGAGTTTTTGGTCAATTAAAAACTAATCTCCAATGTGTTGAGATAGAATTTCAAAGGACCAGGAGTTATAATACCTGGGCTTCTAATTCTAATTGTACCATTTATGGGTAAATGTGACCTTGGATAAGTCACTGTAAGACTTCTATGTCCATGAGAGTAGTGTCTTGGTTCATTTTGTTCATTGGTGAATCCCCATCCCTAGCCCTGTGCCTGACACACAATTAGACGATAAATTTTTGTTCAGTTTGTTGAGTGAAGAAATGAATGACCTTTCGGGAAAATGAAACAAAACAACGAATCCCTGTGTGATCAGTATACAACAATAGAGTTGGGAGCTTGAGAGGGAAACATGAGGTGGCCTTCATCATTTAGAGGAGGCAAGCATGGCTGGAGTACATGCCAGGGTAGTATTGAGAGGCAGGAATGTTGATGGAAAGGACTAGGCTCAAAAAGAGCGCTTTGGAGAATTCTTTCCATTGTTTCTCTTCCAGAAAAGCAAGTCATTTCTGGGTCTCTCCGGAAATCAGTCCGCAGAAACACGAGTAGGAACTCCAGAGATGACTGTGCCTCCCCCAACCCCAGTGCAATTGTCTAAACAATTCAGTTCAGATTTCCTGCCTCTCTGGGCTCAATCCGAAGCATTACCTCAGGATCTACTGAAGGAGTAAGTATCATGTAGGTCTGTGGGAGAGCCAGAGCACCTGCTTTTCACTGAAGCTGAGATGGTTCTAAATGGTGTGCTTTTTCTGAGTAGGGCTGGGAGAAAACGATCACCCCAACTTGTTTACTGAACTCTTAGACTTACCAACAGGCAGGGATGACCATCATAACCACCACTATTTACCACACTTACCGTTTGCCCAGCCCTATGCTAGGCACATTGCATGTACTTTCATTTAAATTTCCACTAGGAGGTAGGCACCGTCACTCTCTTCTTTTTATAGGTGAATTATGAATAACTGGTAGGCAGAATGTGTGGTCTGCAGTGAGATGACCTTTGAATTTTACATTGAAACTTAACTGGCTATGTGAATTTTGGTAATGTATTTAGCCTCTTAAAACTTCATTTTCCTCATTTGCAAAGTGGAAATAATATCTGTTCTCAGGTGTTGTAAGGATTCGGTGTTATAAAGCACATGAACCTGACATAGAATCAGCACTGGGTATATGCAGCCATGATGATCGTAGTTGCATCAGAAAGGTGTTACCGAATGAGCACTTGTTGGTACAGGCCTTTTCAGACCCAAAGTGGAGATTTCTTGGAGCCCTTTACATCTCTTTCTCCTCAGTCATGCTTTCCAGGAAGAGCTGTTGCTGACTGTCTGGCTGTCCTCTGTCCCCTTCAGACTTTTGCCAGATAGAAAGCAAACCATGCCTTGTCTGGAGATGAAGATAAAATTGGCCATGATGAAAAAGAATCTTCCCTTGGAAAGGAACCGACCTGACAGTGCGATTTCTTCTAAGATGTTTCTATCTATACACCGCCTCACCCTGGAAGTAAGAGCAAGGAGGCAGCAGGGAAGAAGCCTATGTGAAAATTCAAACCCATCTCTCCTCAAATCTGGAAGAGTTGACATTCTATTCCTTATCTCTCTTCTTCCTTTCCACTCTGAACCCAAGCCCCACAGAAGGCTGGGCTCTATGTAGGTAAAAGTCAGTCAAGGGGGAAGTGTTGAGAGAGCAATGTTCTCTATTTCTTTCTTTTTTTTCCTTTCTTTTTTGAGAGACTGGGTCTCACTCTGTCACCCAGGGTGGAGTGCAGTGGTTGATCATGGCTTGCTGCAGCCTTGACATTCTGGGATGAAGCTGTCCTCCCACCTCAGCCTCCAGAGTAGCTGGGACTACAGGCGTGCGCCACCATGGCTGGCTAATTTTTAAGTTTTTGTATAGACAGGGTCTCACGATGTTGCCTAGGCTGGTTTCGAACTCCTGAGCTCAGGTGATCTGCCCGCCTCAGCCTCCCAAAGTGCTGGGATTACAGGCATGAGCCACCGTGCCTGGCCATGTTCTCTGTTTCTTCTGCACTTTGTTCCCCACACCTTTTCCCTTCCTCCGTAGCCCCTGGTACAATGCTGCAAAACACGGGGTTCTTAAAATGTGCTTGTTGACTGGATGAATAAACGCATTTGGGGGATACATTTGGAGAAAAGGAAAGACCTGCAGTAGAGCTTTTCTTTTTCTTTTTTCTTTCTCCAGAGACCCGCACTGCGATATCCTGAACGTTTGAAGAAATTACATAACCTGAAGACAGAAGGTAGATTTGCTGTTGCTGCTGGATCGCTAAGCACCATTTTCTGTTAGCCCACATTTCTCATACTTTAACATGGTCCAGTTCAGTTGTATTTGTGGCCACAGTAATACAGGGTCACATGTAGAACTCAGGAAACAATGGTTTCAGGAAGCAGCCCCTCTGGCTTGGTCCTTACCAGGGAGAGTCACCATTGTGAAGGAAGGCACAGCAGGCATTCCAGTGGGAGAGAGGGGGCTGTTAGAAGAGGATCAAGCTGGCTCTCTGGTCCCCAGGTTACAGGAAACAGCAGCAGTGGCAGCAGCAGCAACAGAGGAAAGTGAAAACACCTATTAAGAAACAGGTAGAGTGGCAGTGAGGGGCTTGCTGGGACTGGGAGAGGTAGCTACAGTCTGGAATGGGAAGGGATGTGTGAAGGGTGGGAGTCTCCTTGTTTTCTATCTGGTTATAGATATAAAGTTCTTGTCTGGTTGTAGATGTTAAATTCCTTCTTTTTGATTTCTTTTGAAAAAGGTTTTCTTTACTTCCAAAAATCCTAATTTGTTCCTCCTGATGTGGGTTTCAGGAGGCTAAAAAGAAAGCCAAGAGTGATCCAGGGAGCCAGAGCACTTCACATAAACATCCAGTTACCACTGTTCATGACCCTCTCTATGGTAAGGGGAATATATGCTTGGTTGGGGGTGATAGGATCCCTGAGGGGTAGGTATCTGCGGGCTGGAAAAGCTAAACATGCTCTTGTCATTTTGAGACCTGCCGTTGTCAGGCACTCAGAATTTCTTGGAATGCTTCAGTCTGTCTGGTCTCTCATGCACCATCCTTCCTTCAGAAATTTACTAAACAAACAAGCTGGGCCAGATGTCTGCTTCACATGGGGGCTTGAAAGATGACCATGAACATGAATCACAGTCATCTTTTCCTCAGGTTCTACCTTAGAAAAGGCAGAGCACTTTGAGGATCAGGAGAGCAGCAAGCCCAGGTTATTGAAGAGAAAACCCTGAGGGCCCATTGTCCAATGAGGCAGGGAGAGCTGGGGCTCCTCACTAGAACCCCAGAAGAGTTCTAAGGAAGCAGAGCTCCAGGGCCCCCTAACTTTCCTGCCACAAGGTAGAGAGTCTCCGGAGCCTCATGGTAAAGTCACACACATTGTCTAGCTCCATCCAGGAGTCAGGGAGACAATTCTCGTCAGGCAGTTCTTTTGCTCCAGTGCTCATGCTGGACACGAGAAAGGACATCTCCCCTTTTTGGAGTCCTTATCATGTCTGAGCTCAGGCATATACTTACCCCTATCCCTCTGAAATTTTTCAACTTGAGTGGAGAATGGGAGGAGGGAAAAAGAATCCCCCCAAACCTTGGAGAATGGTTGTGCCCTTCTCAGACTAGACATTGCTGACTTTAATATGAAAACAACTGTTTAATCATCAGAAAGAGCTTTCCAATCCTGGGGCACTGCGGGGGCTGAGATGAGGTTTCCTGTAGAAGGATGCTGCCCTCTTGCTTTTCTTCCTATCTCACTTAGTTGTCTGATGCCAATGATCTGCTCTAACCTGAAGGTTAGAAGGTTCCTGCCCTTCTCATGGGAGGTGGACAGAATCAGGGCTTGGCCCCGGGCAGGAGGTGATGTATCCAAGGTTAGCACTCCATCTAGGGTGACCACTCTGAATTCCATTCTGGTGCCTTTTGTACCCCTTCCCAATGCCTCCAATAGGAGCAGTTTTGCTTGGGTGACTGGGGTGCCCCTGTGAGTCATGTTCTTAGAGCAGTGGCCAGTCCTCACTAAGTTGAGAAAGGCTTTATGGAAGAGATGATTTTTGCACTGGATCTTGAATATGTGTGGGAGTTTTCCTGATATGGAAAATAACTCTTGAGAGGGAATAGCCTGTGCAAAGGCATCTAGGAGGATCATAGCTGCGCAGGAAACACTGAGCAGTTGGGTGTGGTTGTGGGGTTAGGTATTTAAGGGAGAGTGGTCTACCACGCCAAAGAGGTAGGCAGGGGCTTGTGTAGACTGCTGAGTCATTTGACCTTTATCATCCAGGCCACTGGTGCTCCGCCTTGACTGTACACTAAGACCAATTATGAAGCTTTTATGTATGTATGTATGTATGTATTTATTTATGACGGAGTTTCGCTCTTGTTGCCAAGGCTGGAGTGCTATGTGCGATCTCAGCTCACCACAACCTCCGCCTTCTGGGTCCGGTTTCAAGCGATTCTCCTGCCTCAGCCTCCTGGGTAGCTGGGATTATAGGCATGTGCCACCACCCCTGGCTAAGTTTTGGTATTTTTAGTAGAGATGGAGTTTCTCCATGTTGGTCATGCTGGTCTCGAACCCCCAACCTCAGGTGATCTACCCACTTCGGCCTCCAAAAGTTTTGGGATTACAGGCATGAGCCACTGCGCCCGGCCAAGAAGCTTTTAAAACTCTTAATACTCAGGCTGTATCCCAGCTGTTAAATCAGAATTTCTGGTGGTAGAAACTAGGCCTCAGTGTTTTTTGTTTATTTGTTTGTTTGTTTTTTGAAGCTCTTCAGTTCTTCCAGTGTACAGCTAAGGTGAGAACCAGTGCTAGTAGGGAGTCGATGGAAATGCTATATTTTAGCATAATGCCTCAGGTGGCAGCTTGGAAGATGTTTGTTTAGGGAAAGGGAGATTGAGAAAAGAATGAATGAATCTTCTTACGGACTAGTTGGGGAAGCAGCTGATGCACAAGAAACATAAAACTAGAGGTTTTTGTTTTTGCTTTGTTTGTGGGTGCATGAGGGATGGCGCAAGAAGATGAGTCACATTCTGGTAAGATAAGTCACATTCTGTGAAAAGGTAGATTAGGGTTTCTTGGAGGAATCCTGGGTCTTTTAACACACACTTGACCGTAATCTCTAATTCTGTAATAGATTAAGTTACAGTCCTAGGTGAGCAGAATCTCAAATAAAACTCAGAAGGTCTAACTACCTTTTACCTGCCATCAAGGTCTTGTCTTTTCCTGGATGTGGAGTCACTTGTAGACTAGGGGTCACCTAGAAGCCCCAAAAGAGGATATGATATGCCAATAAGAGGAAGATTGAATTGACTTTTTGGTTACTAGGTTACAGAACTCTGCCAGGTCAGAACAGTGACATGAAGCAGCAGCAGCAGATGGAAAAAGGAACCACCTCGAAACAGGTGACAATGTACCAGGTCTCTGCTAGGACCCGGTTTCAGTTATCTATTACTGTGTAACAACCCCAAAGCTTAACCGTAGTGATTTGTTATTTCTAATGATTCTGTGGGTTGACTGGATAGTTCTTCTTTCCCTGCTTGAGGTCACTTAATGCAGCTGGGCTGAGGCTGTTGGCCAAGTTGCTGGTTTTCCTTCCTGAGGCCTCTGCATGTGGTTTATTTGGGCTTTTTGATAGCATAGTAGTCTCATGAAAGCAGTTTCTTAAGGGATGGGCCTGGAACTAAAACATTGTTACTTCTGCCACATTTTCTTGGCCAAAGAAGAAACAAGTCCATCCCAGAGTAAATAAGAGAAGAAATAGGCCCTATCTCTTGATGGGAGGAACAGCATGTGCATACTGGAATGGGAGGAATTGTTGGAAGCCATATTTGGAGGCCATCTGCCCTTAGTTGACTGCAGGGAATGGGAAGGAGTGGTTCTAGGTTCATTTGGATAGCATGGAGGGCAAAGAACGTGCGATACAAGCTTCTCTTCAGTCCCAAGAGGTGGGTCTCTGGCTCATCTTAGATGTTAATTTCTTCAAGAAAAGCATCTTTTAGAAAAATCCTTTTAGTTTCCTAAAGTTTTGATTCAAATTTCCTTATACCCCGATGAATTTCAGGATTCCACAGAGAGACGAAAGATGGACTACTGTGACCATGTGGATTTCCACCACAATGTAAAAAGTAAGTTACTAGAGTAGAGGAACCTTAGTAAGTGACTGAGGATAGGGAGAGTTGAACCTGTGTTGTCCAGGATAGTTTACCTCCCTGAAGGCACAGTTCCCCTATCTCAGACAAGTCCTAAAAAACATCCCAGTTTTTCCTTTTCTGTCCTCCATTTGTCGTAGTTATTTGAGAGGAGTTTACAGGTGCAATTAATGACTACATCTTCTTTTAGGTCCTGAATTGTATGAAACAGAACCCACTAACAAGGACATTAGTGCTCCGGTGGAAGCTGTGCTAGAAGCCCAGGCTGCCAGGCAAAAGAAGATCTCCTTTAACTTTTCAGAAATCATGGTTAGAACAGGCTGGAACTCTGAGCTCAAACTACTGAGGATTCTTCAGGAGACTGATGATGAGGATGAGGAGAACCAGTACTCTGAGGCAGAGAAGCCTCTGGAGGAATAGACTGAAGGCATCCCCTGGGGCAGCCGTGTTCCAAAGTGGGATGGTTGGTATCCTGAGGGCAGCAACGTTTCACGTAAGGGCAAGAGGAGAGGGGCTTCTGCTCTCTGGAGCCTTTACCAGGGCCTGAGATCTGAACTTAGGGATTCAGTTTTCTTTGTTCACCTCTACTTGCCTCTAAAATAAATGTAGGAGAAAAATCCCCAGCCCTTTTAAATTTAGATTATTTCTCTTGCATTAGGGTCAGTATAATTTTGGTGATTAAACACAACTGCTTCTTAATTAAAAGACTCATTTTCTGTTTCTAGGAAGAAGGGAAAGATGTCTCTTGGTATCTGTTTTCTTGGGTCACTCTTATCTCTGAAGCTCTGAAAGGTTTCCAGTTGGAGGAGGCTGAATTTGGCTCATGGGAGCTGCCATGGTGCTCCCTAGATTTTTCTCTCATTCCCTAGAAATGGTTTCTTTTGGAGATGGGATCTACATTGTTATCAAATAATGTTCATTGTGTCACTGGTCTTAAGCTCCTAGGCTCAATCAGTCCTCCCTCCTCAGCCTCCCAAAGTGCTGGGATTACAGGCAGGAGCCACTGTGCCCAGCCAAAAGCTCTAGTTTGTTTCTTTTTTTTTTGGATGGAGTTTCATTCTCGTTGCCCAGGCTAGAGTGCGATGGCATGATCTTGGCTCACCGCAACTTCCACCTCCCGAGTTCAAGCGATTCTCCTGCCTCAGCCTCCCGAGTAGCTAGGATTACAGGCATATGCCACCATGCCTGGCTAATTTTGTATTTTTAGTAGAGACGGGTTTCTCCATGTTGGTCAGGCTGGTCTCGAACTCCTGACTTCAGGTGGTCCGCCCACCTCAGCCTTCCAAAGGACTGGGATTACAGGCATGAGCCACCACGCCCGGCGAAAAGCTCTAGTTTCTAAGGAACTGAGTCTTCAGGAAAGTTTCAGTGATGCTCATAAAGGCTCAGAATTTCAGAGTCTCAGGGAATCTCTAACTTGGTTTTGGAGGGTTTTTTTTTTCATGTTTTAGTCCTAATGTAAAAATTTCAAAATTACGTAAAGGGAAAGAGAATAATATAATGAAACTTTGATGTATTCAGTATTTTAGATCTGGGCAAGGAAGGCCCTTGGCCCCATGCTTTAGAAAGTCCTCTGGTGTTCTGGCTGTGCTGCCCCTCATGGCGGAGAAATCTGCAGAGCCAAGTGAATGTATACCTAGCTGGAGTCTGTGACTCCCCTTTTAGACTTTGTTCCTGGTATTTGGAACCCTGGAATTCCCTGCCCAGTGGCCTGTTGCCTACTTCCATGGCTTCTGCAGGCCTCTTTTGTGGGTCCATCCTCCCAAGAGTGGACTATCCCACCAGTATGTGCACTGCTGGGTTCAAGGGGATAACAGGAGGGTATTTGGAGAGGAATTTGTCCAGAGCTTGAGCCGATGGACTGGCGTATCAGCATTTGTGGCCTTTCCCAGTAAAGATGGGATCATGAGAAGTGAGGGCTGGTTCTTCTAGTGCTGCGTGTTAGTGTGGAACTTCAAGGAATCTGTGGATTTTGAATGAACCTGGCTTTCTAGATCATGAAGGTATACTGATCAAGATAGCAAGTTAGAACATGTTTTATTTAACAATTTGTTAGCTTAATTTATAGTTTTTAAATGTTCAGACATGGTTAGTAGACCTGTTTTTGTACAGTTATCCTGAGTCCTGCAAAACATTAGGACTGCCCAGAGCCATCATTTGGGACAAATTTTAAGGAGGAAGAATTTAACCACACAATATAGAGATCATTAATTTGCAGCCCCATTTTAAAGGTAAGGATAGCAAGGCTCAGAGAGGGGATATGTCTGGACTGAGCTCGTGAGCTGGGAAGTGGGGCTGAGCTGGAATCTGGCTCTCCTAGTGCTAGGTCAGAGCTCTTTTCATTATTCCACTCTGCTGTTCTCTCACCTCATTCTCCAGAAACAATGGTAGGTTATTCATCATCATATTTAACCTGAGTCTGACTTCCTCTCCTTCCTGGTGTGCTGTCTGTCTTCCTCTATAATTGATTAATGTGGGTCCCAAGGATGCTGGCTCCATTTTTTTTTTAATCAGGAAAATTGGAAACATACAAAAGTTAATGAGCTCCCATGTGTCCATTACCTAAGAATTATCAATTTATGACCAATCTTGTTTCATATATATACACCCCCATCCTGAACAAGGTTATTTGAAGCAAAGGTCATTTTATCCATAAATATTTCAGCATACACTTCTAAAAGAAAAGTGTTAAAAATAACTACAAAAATTAATCATAGCTGTTTAATATCAAATATCCAGGCAAATTCAAATTTCCCTCTATTATTAATTTCTTTTCACAGTTGATACCATCAAACTAGAATCCATATAAGGTCCATAAATTGTATTTAGTTGATATGCTCAAAAATTTCTTTCTTTCTTCTTTTTTCTTTTTGACACAGGGTCTCACTCTGTTACCCAGGCTGGGGTGCAGTGGCACAATCACCGCTCACTGAAGCCTTGACCTCCTGGGCTAAGGTGATCCTCCTGCCTCAAATTGTTGGGACCACAGCCATGCGCCACCACACCTGGCTAATTTTTAAAAAAATTATTTGTAGAGATGGGGTCTTGCCATGTTGCCCAGGCTAGTCTCAAACTCCTGGGCTCCAGTGATCCTCCCATCTTGGCCTTCCAAAGTGCTGGGATTACAGGTGGGAGCCACCTGGCCCCTAAAATCCTTTAATCTATAGGTCCCACTTTTTCCTTTTTCCTTTTTCTTTCCTTGCAATTTATTTGCTGAAGAAACTGGGTTGTTTGGTCTGTAGATCCCTACATTCTTGATTTTGCCAGTTGTATCCTCATGGTGTTGTTTAACACATTTCTTCATTCTCTTTATTTCCTGCAAACTGTTAGATCCAGAGGCTTGAACTGCTTCACGAGTTTTTTGGTTTTTTTGCAAGAAAATTTCATAGATGGCATTGTGTTCTTCCATCAGGAGGCCCATAATGTCTGGGTGTCTCTTCTCTGGTCTTAGCGGCCAATAATAATCTTTGCCTGATTTTTGCATGTTGATCGTGTATCCCACAACATTACTTACCTTGTTATTTAGTTTTGGTAGTTTTTTATTGGATTTCATATTATCTTCTTTCTCTTTTTTGGAGTGTTTTGCCTTTATTGATAGTGTTGTTGGGGACAGAGGAAAGATTTCTTTTCTCTCTTATTGCTAGGAGACATCTATAGCAAAGGACAGATTAGCAAGAGAAAAACATACACATTTATTTAATATAAGTTTTACATGACACGGGAGCCTCCCTGTTGAAGACAAAGAAACAGGGAAACCTGGGTATTTTTATGCTGTTTGATGAAGAGTAGACAGTTGTGGAGAAATGTGATTGAAGGACAAAAGAGTATGATCTAATGGTAATAAACTGGAGGAACTTAGCAAGGCCTGTTTGTGCAGATTCTTCTTTGTGTCCCTTGTGTCTTCAGAGCTAAGGATATTCTTTTCCTTTGGGTATAGGGAGGGTCCCTCTCAAAATCAGAAACTTGTTTTGGGGAGAGGAGGGAATGATGAGAGTGACCTTCCTGGTTCTGCTGTGTTTTCAAACGGCAAGGTGCCATATTTTGGGGTTGGATGTCCTAAACCCCATCATTGTCCTCTTCCAAATTCATCCCAAACATGTCAAGGTGACTTTAGGGTGGTCACATGGTCCTGAGGCTTCCACTTCATGAATGAAGTGTGTTTTTCAAATGTGATGCTCCTGCAGGCAAAGTAGGGAAAGATGCCTTCTGACATGCAGCCCAACTCGTTTTTGGCTTATCATTCCTTTCATCTAGCAGGAGCTAATACTGCACCTGCCCAATTGCTGGTTTATTATACTACAAAGGATACGGATGAAGAGATGTGTAGGTCGAGGTATGGGGAAAGGGGCTTCCATGCTTTCCCTGGGCGAGCCACCCTTCAGGAATCTCCATGTGTTCGGTTATCTGGAAGCTCTTCTTAGGATTTTCTATATACAAGATTATATCATCTGCATATAGAGATGTTTTTGTTTCTTTCCTTTTAATCTTCATGCTTCTAATTTCTTTTTCTTGCTTAATTGTCCTGGTTAGAACCTCTAGTACAATGTTGAATGGAAATGAAGAGATAAGACATCCTTGTTTTATTTTTGATCTTAGGGCAAAGCATTCAGTCTTTCACCATTAAGTATGATGTTCATTTTGAGTTTTTCATAGAAGCCCTTTATTATATTGCATTCCCTCTTTTCTTCTTTTTTCTTTTCTTTTCTTTTCTTTTCTTTTTTTTACAGACTGTGTTGCCTAGGCAGGAGTGCAGTGGCACCATCATGGCTCACTGCAGCCTTGAACTCCCAGGGCTCAAGTCATCCTCCCAGCTCAGCCTCCTGAGTAGCTGGGACTACAGGTGTGTGCCACCATGCCTGGCTACTTTGTTGTATTTTTTGTAGAGATGGGGTCTCACTTTGTTGCCCAGGCTGGTCTTGAACTCCTGGGCTCAAGTGCTCCTGGTGCCTTGACCTTCCAAAGTGTTGGGATTACAAGTGTGAGCCACCACGCCTGGCACTACTTTCTCTCTCTCTCTCTCTCTCTCTCTCTGAGACAGGGTCTCACTCTGTTGCCCAGGCTGCAGTACAGTGGCACAATTATAGCTCATTGCTTGCAACCTCGACCTCCTGGGCTGAGGTGATCCTCCCACCTCAGCTAGGACCACAGGTGCACCACCATGCCGGGCTAATTTTTTAATTTTTATTTTTGGTAGAGACAAGGTCTTGCGGTGTTGCCAAAGTTCTGGGCTGAAGTGATCCTCCTGTCTCAGCCTCCCAGACTGTTGGGATTATAGGTGTGAGCTATGGTATACCCAGCCTTGAGTTCCCTTTTTTGCCTAGTTTGTTGAGTGCTTGTGTGTTTTTTTGTTTTTGTGTGTGTTTGTTTTAATCATGAAAAGGCATAGGATTTTGTAAATGCTTTTTCTGCATCTATTGTGATGATCATGTATTTTTGGTTTTTCTTCTATTGAGATGGTGTATTACATTAATTGAATTTTGAATGTAAGCCAATCTGTGTTCCTGGGATAAATCCTACTTGATCATGTTGTCTAGTTATTTTTATATGTTGTTAGATTCAGTTTGCTAGGATTTTTTTTGCATCCATGTCATAAGAGATATTGTAGTCTTCTTGTGAT